AGGTCAATAGACAGTTAAGTGTAAAATGTATTTATTTGTTTGTTTATCCACTGGACTGAAAAGTCTTTCTTCACTCAAATAAGGTGTATTGTTTTAAATCGGTATGAAGTAAACGTGTCATGAGTGAATATATATGTATATATATGCATATATGTGCTAACAAATTATTTTACTAGCAAGAATATGTTTTCTGTCTAGTGAGGGCTTTTGAATCAATTTTGAGTGGCTCATTTCTCTTGATAGTTCTATTTTAATAGAAGAGAATATCTTCCTTTTTTAGCTAGAGATACTTGATGTTGATGATGTCTATAAGCTGCTGTATTGGTGAATACTACAGGGTGGCTATCTAGATCTACATTTTTATTGAAATTTATTGATGAGGTATGCTGTGCAGTCACATTGTCATATGCAACAGTTGACTTTTTTCTTCTCTTTTCTACGGAACATGAGTAATCTAAACGAAAAGGAAAGGCCAGGCTGTTAGTCACGAAATTTAGTGGTAACATTCCCTTCATGCTGATCTATGGAATGTAATTTACAAGAGACTGATAGTTCAATACATAGTTCATAGGAATTATTAAAATGATGGTCTCAGTAAAGAACATTTCCTTTCCGACGAAGTCATCAACTAGGCTATTCATTTGCGTGCTCGTATATTTAGTAGGTTAGAAAGTTCCACAACCATTTCCGTTGTCAAAGGTAAAATTAATAAAGTTACAAAGTGTAATAAACAGGAAGGTAGGATAAAAGAGAACACAGTAAGACCATAATTACTGAGAAACTTTTGTGTGCTCTTAGGGATTAAACACGTGGTGATAAAAAAATATAGGGAAGAGGTCCAGGTAAAAAACATGCTAATGCAGGTAGCGTCGGTGGCACAGCGGTAGAGTGCTCGGTGAACAAACAGGTGGTCAGGAGTTCGATCCCCAGACGACGCACTTCTATGCCTCGCTAAGCCAGTAATAAAACTGGTAAAAAGGGAAGGTTGGGCATGAGGCTAGCAACCCCATCCTGTAAAAGTAATCACCACTGCTACAGAAACTTCAGGCCTCTAGTTTGAAGCCATTTGTTCTACTGGGAACGCAAAGGAATAAAACCAATGCAAACTGCAATTTTAAAAAAAGTAAAAATAAGAGAAATAAACAGGAAGTTTGGATAATAAATGTAGTAGGATAATCACTATCGAAAAGACCAACTTTCTATGGTGGGCATGGTAGGTATAATGACTGGAAGTATTTCTTTTGAATACAGAGCGTTGTGGGCTTGAACCATTGGGCCGCTAGTGCCCCAGCTATGCTCAGATACCTTGATTCCACTTCCTTGGAGAGGTTTGGCCATATCCTGCACATAATTTTGAAGGACTTTTCATCAAATGAAGCTGAATGTCCTGAATTGACCAGATGTTCCATTGCCAAACTATACAGATACACTTACGTTTTCATAACTGCACAAAAGTCAATTTTCTCAGCAGTTATGATCTGACTGTGTTCTTTTTTTTATCCTACGTCCCTGTTTATTGCACATTGTAATTTTATTAATTTGACCTTTGATAACCGAAAATAGTTGTGGAACATTCTCACCTACCAAATATATGAATACACAAGTGAATAGTCTAGTTGATGACGTCGTCAGAAAGTACATTTTCTTCGCTGCTACCAGCTTTCTAATAATATCAATATGTAGCCAAATATAGAGACATTCGGTATTCAATTCCTGGCTGACGCACTCCTAAACATCTCTTAGACGTTAGTAAGTCCACCAAGGAGGGAAGGGTGGTTGTGAGGCTAGCAACCCCATCCCATAAAAGAGAATAACACCCCCTCTAGTGCAACTCAAAACCTCTAGCTTGAAGCTTTATGTTTCACTTGGAACTCAAAGGAATTTATACAAGTATACATTACTAAAATAACTTCAGGAAACTAATTCTACAATGTATTGCAAGTAAATATCAAAATACTCCACATTCTAAGCTGGTTATGTGCTTCCCAGATACCGTAGAATTAGATAAATAGTGCTTTTAAGATGTTATAAAGGCGGCAGTTACCACTGTTTTACGAATTATTCTGTTGACAAGCATATTCCTGCACTTGGACCAACAGATGCACGCTTTGCATTAATCTGGTTCTATTTTATGAAAGTGTCATATTGCATATATAAAGTCGAAGTGGTGAACACCACCCTGTATAAGCACTGCTTTATGCCTACTAATAGGTGGTCTTCCACGCATTTTTGTCACAGTTACTATCTTTGCACTGTTTGTTGTCGCCTTTGACACTACTTATATCACTATGAGGTTCGATGACGTATGTTCGGACAGTTATGAGTCTGATTAATAAGACGTGTGTACTGTATGTCATCCGCTGTTTGCTAGCCTTAAAACTAAATAAAATTCACACATAGCTGTTAAGCTTCTTACTCGATTCGACATTATATTAGTAAGATGTTTTAATTTGGGTGATGTGAGGTAGACCATCCAACGCCCTGTTTCTACATGCTGTCAGATGCCACCTTAAGTGTAAGGTGCAGCTAATATATGAAAACTTCCTAGTTCATAAGTGATGGACATTCCTGAATCTACACCTACGAGAAAGTCCATCTTTATCCCTTGGTCTTCTAACTGTAGCTTTCCTCATTTTTGTTTAGTTTGGTCTTACACTATACTATGTGATGTGTTTGTCAATGTACAGCCTGAATCAGACTACGATTTGAATAAAATTTTAAAAAATCGAATAATTCTTGTTAGACATTTAAAAATGTAAACCGTTAGTTCTAAGGAACCATAACTATTCCTTGTAAAACCATCTTACTGACTTGCACGCAAGCTTAAAACAGCACCACTTTTGTTAGTACGTAAGGAATATTTTAATATTGAGCCATTCGCACGTTATCTGACTGGAAAATCGCCTGTAAATTAATCAGTGACCAGCGGTTTGTCACTTTGGTAAAATGCTGTTGCTGGCCAGTATTAGGCCAGACACAGAGGGGAAGTTTGGAGCGTGGCCAGCGATCCCATCCCGAAAAAACAAGAGCACTACTTCCAAAATTTAGGAGCTCTGTGTTCCATAGGAAAAGCAGAGGAATAAAATAAAATAAAAAATTGATGAAAATAATTTTTCTCTGGCATGTCATCCATTTGCATGGTAACTGGATAACCAGTGATGACGAACATCCATAAGATTTAGGAGATTTAATGACTTGCAATACACAGAGGAAAAAGATAATTACTGCTGTGTGCCTTATTATCACTCTCTTAGGTTTCCAGTGGAACACAAAGCCTCATCAGTACGTCTACATTTCATGCTGTCCTTTTATCCGTCTTTATATGCCTCTATGATTGACCAAAATTCCTCATTTCCTCCTCACATGATCTCCTCAACATCCTTCTCGGAACTACAACAAACTTGTCGTCTCCCACTCGAGCGTCTGCCTGGAGAGTGCCGTCACTCAGCGGTTTCCTCAGTGTCAAGCCAATCCATCTCTATTTTCTCCGAAGAAGGGTTCTTGGCTGGTTCCTTGAAGTGCAGAGTTCCTTTTGCTTATCCTTTCTCATCCGCCATCCGATCCTAATTATAGGGCGAAGACAGCTGCTTAAAGAAGTCTGGATCCTGCTCGAAATGCCTGCGATGACTCGTTCATCAAGTCTCTGAATCATAACGAAGCACCAAAGACCTGACATTAGTGTTGAAAATCCAGATCTTGTTCTTTCCTACTGAATGGAGCAGACTTCCACAATGATTTCAGATTAATGAAGGCCTGTTTCCCGTTTCCCAACTGGACCAACTTCAACATACTCATCCGTGCCTCCTGTAGTTGAAACGAACGAATGAATGGCTGGGAGTAGGATGGCTCCACAGAAACTTCAGTGCACAGTGTACCACAATAGTAAACTAAAAAACTCTTTGTCAGTATTATCAGACAAACTCAAACTCAGACGTGAGCATGACTCAAATGATTTTGTTTCCTGCAAAACATAAAATTCAACGAATCTGTATAGTAAATTTTCATAAATATTATTGATAATCAATAATTATCTTGATAAATTATTCAGGAAGTATGCATGAAAACATAGATGTAAAATAAATAATAATAGTAGTGATGCACATAATAATAATAATTGCGATAATATCAAGGTGAGGTGGAAGCACAACAGTATTCACGATGACATGCATTTCAAACATGCACAGGATAATGACAGCACCAAGAATACAAATACAATACAAATCATCAGTAGTACTTCCATACAGAGAAGGAACCTCGGAAGCCTTACGGAGAATTCCTAACAATGCAAGAATAAGAGTGGTTGACATTCAAACCCACAAGCTCAATTAGAAATAAGATTTGTCGATTAAAGGATACCGTGGAGCCAATGAAACAGAAGATTCCAGTTCATCTGATACCTTGCAATGATTGTCAGATCAAATACATAGGGCGAAGTAGTAGGACGGGATCAGTCGGTCAGTCAGTCAGACTAGCGGAGCACACAATCCTACCAAAATCTAGATTAGTTGACCCCAATAAGATAAGAAATCTGGAGTATAACTCAGCAGCTAGAGCACTCACCACATGCAATTGCACACAACCACACAACAGGATGGAGTAAGATGACTGTCTCGAAATCTAGTGTAACAGCTGGGTGGAGGGAGACATTGATAACGGAAGCTTCATTTATCGAATCAACTGCAAACGCGTGTAAGAGAAATGGTTAAACACCTGTCCGAGATATCTGAAAAATTCGACTATCACCCCTACGAAAATTGGGGAAGAATAAACAAAACTACAAACTCAAGTCTCCAAGTCGTGTGATCATAATTCATGGTATGATTATGAACAATAAATTGTGTTCGAAACGTCATCCAGTAAGTACCCCTGTTTCACTGTGTGATGTATCTAATAAACAAATGAATATGGAATTACATACCACCAAAGAGCTCAAGTCTTACACACATATATCAGATGTACTCAGAGTTAATAAAATCAATATAAATACAAACAGTGCTTACTGTTTCCTGAAAATACTTCTGAAGAATGCTGTTCCATCAATAATTTGGCCTGTATTACCTCCCAATTATCATCGTTTAAGTCGGAATCAATATTATCGTTAACATTGTTAGGAGGCGGGTTTTTAAAAATGCGACACTGTTTCTTGTGTAGGTCGACTGGAACGTGTTTTCTGCTCTTACTGACTTGGTCATCATAATTTAAATCTTTCAAGTTATCTGTAACGCATGATGGTTCTTCAGCACATTCTAAGGAATTATCAATCGAATAGTATGTTGTGCTTGGTCTATTAGTATAACTGATATGTTTCCACAGAATTGTATGCTTCTTGCCAGTATTTGTTGGGTTCTTATTTCTTTTATCACCATAATCGTTTTGTACAAATTCTACTTCATAATTTCTATCATGTTTAAGAAATTGTTCCTGTGCTCCAGTTTCAAGTGATTTATTATACTGTGGGCTGGATGATGGTGATATGAGTCCATGGACTTTTGATTCAACTAATCCCATGAAAAATCCATATAAAATATTACTCTAGAGAAAAAATTAGAGTAGTGTTCACTAGCATAAGGCTTTAAAATTCGTCTGCAAATATGTTCTTATATATGGATTACGCCAGCATGTGCCTCTGTATGTATCTGTTTGTGTGTGTGTGTGTATGTACACTAACACCTATTCTCACATTGCATGCGCACACAGGGAATTAGTTGGTGTATGTAAAGATACACCAAATGGTAATAAGTGTGAATTTCACTTAAGTATGCGCACCAGTAGGTGCTCAGTTTGTCCTTAACCATGTTTTATCAATTGGTCACAAAGTAGTGAGAAGTCAGACTGTAAATTTAGTGTGTAAAAGTAAAATCAGTTGATACAACCAGTTAGTTATTATTCACATGCTTCAGTCCAAGAATATTTGCATAATAACATAATAAAAAAGTGCTATTTGGTTAAAATAATTTGCATTTGGTAGTACAACTACTTTCATTCAAAATTCAATAACTGGATATAAAGTTATATCACTTTTAATTATTATTTTGTTTCATTGCTTACGTTCCAAACGGAACGTGGGACTTGAGTAGCACATATCCATTGCATTGGTTTATCTGTCTTCAATTTCAGATGGGTCTGAATCTGCCTATAATTTTTTTTCTTTCCTTTTCGCAAAGCCATCATCATGTTACTCTCTGGAAACCAGCTCGTAGCTTCCAGTTCAGTGGCCTGGTGTGTGGTGTCTCTCAGTTTATGTCCAGTGCATCTCCTTTTCCTTCTGTAAATCTGTTGAGCAACAGGTTCTTGGCTGCTTCTTTTCTGGCCGGCTGTCTGATTTTCAGGATACATTGGAGACATCTGATTATAAAAGCCTTCAGATTGTTGGAAATGAATTTGATGATATGCACGCTAAATCTCCATGCTTTACAAAAGCACTGACTTGACAATGAAGTTAAATATTCGGAACTCATTCCTCACTCTGAGTGATGTAGACCTGCACAGTGATTTCAGAATAATAATGTAATGTCTTGTTTCCCAGACCCAATCTTGGGCTGCCTTAAACTTCCCATGCTATACAACCACTTGTAATTGAAACAACGCCCTCCAGATAAGGTAGGTGACACAGATGCCTTCATTCGGATTTCTCCTCTCGATTGTGATTGTCGTTTTGTGTTATCCGTTGGTGGGCTACATTCATCGCTTCTGTCGTCACTTATCTATATCCATCTGGAATCGGGTTATGGCTTGTCAATTTTTCACTCAAGAATAATGGTGATGATAATAATAATAGCTTTATTCCAAACAGTACTTTTGGTATAAATATGGAATTTTCAGCATGTAATACAATACTGCATCTAATTTTCCCATTTACAGGGGTAATAATTAAAACAGGCCATTTACATTATTAATAATTTAAATTAGTAATATTGTTCAAAAAAAATGAATATAAAATTAAATAAAGTGAAAATATTAACAACAATGTAACAATTAAAACAAAAAAAGACACTTTACTTAGAGTTCTGCAGTAAGTTGGTAAATTCCTACCTTACACTTTTCTCGTCACTCAAAATGTGTGCTAAATAACGTACTGTCGAGTTTTTGTACTAAGTCGTCCCTTCTAATTCTACCCAATGGGAAGCAAGGAGAGAGTTGTGAATAGAGAGGAGGTTCACAGCCTGACAGCATAATATTTGTCAATTTCTTGCTCTTCTCAGTGTAACAAACCGCCTTTCTTGAGTAGCTCGGAAAGATTAAGGAGGAAAGGGCAGTGAAGAAGTATAGGCAGAATACAAGAATTAACAAACTGTAACAGTGGAGACGGAATGATACCAGATCGTCTTAACTTCCTTACGTAGAACGTCGAACGAAACATTTTTCTTGACACTAACATGATGAAGGAAGACCAAGAAAAATCAGAAAAAATACACAGTCCAATTATTTAACATTTTATATGGTTTCATCTTCACTGACATTTGTGCCATTTGTATGTCTTCCAGCTTGTATGACGCATTACTCTTGATAGAATGTCGAAAGTGAACAGGAATGTTTGCTTTGCACACCTCTGGAACGTAGTATTTCATTAGGCTGTCGTATCCTGTTTTATTGACAATACACAAGTTGTAACACTAACTTTCAAACGTTTAGGGTGTGGAGATTTTTGTCTGGTAAAATCATGCAATACAAAAGTGAAGAAGAAACCTGCGAACCGAATTCTTGATCAGAAGACAGAAACTGTCATCCTGGTTCACTACTTCGCTAGTTTTTCGGTCTGTCCTAAGGCTGGAAAAAGAGTGAGAGATGAAGGTGAGACTAGCGACCTCATCCTGGAAAAATACCCAACTACAGAAACTTCAAAAGACATCACATGGAGTCAGTGAAATCCTTATAGGTGATACGAATCCTAGTAGAAATGAGAGCAGATAGTAGAGGGGAGAGAATTCATCATGGATCGAGAGGTTCTCAGCGAAATGAATAAGGAGGAAGAAGAGAACACGAAGTTCAGCAAAGATGGCGATCTTTTCGGCGATTTCATTCTCAAAAGCAGATGTACAATCACATATATATAGATTATTTTACATGGATACAATTATTATTTGTTTAATTCCACATAGTAACGAAGGTGATAATAATTTTCAACTTGATATGGAAGTCTGAAGGTACGAATATAGATTACAAGGAGCTTAGAGACAAGATCACATAGGATGAGAAAACAGTTACAACGTATGCAGAATTAATATTTGATAACTGGAGAAATAATTTTAAAGTCGAATAAAAGGTGACAACTATTTTCAACTTGATATGAATTACAAGAGGCGTAGAAACGCAGGGATAGAACGAGTTGCAGTTGTGAACAAAATCAGCATGCAAACAAATTGAGGTCAAAAATTTTCAACTTGAAATGTAAGTTAGGAGGTGTGAATATAGATTTCAAGAGGCATAGAAACAAAAAATTACACAGGATTAAAATATAATTGTAAAATAGTTATTCTAAACGAATTATAGATGTGAACAGGAAAAGCATGGAGAGAAACTTAAAATAACTGTTTTTGTAACTGAAAAAAATTCGGTGAATAAGGATCAGACACATGACGAACGAAAAAATGCTCAAAAAGAAAAGAGAGAACGAAAAAAGACGAAGAATAAAGAATATGGAAGCAAAGGGAACATACCAAACTAGGTGCATGGTAGTTGTAGAGGTTGGACTAATTTCTTTTGAACACACAGCTCCGGCTTCTGGATGCATATTGCGAGGGCTTCTGCAGTACAAAGAAGTCGGAAACATACTGCTTTTGGTAGGTTTCTGTTGACTTTGTAAATCACTTTGAAAGAATCAGTTGAGATGTTGTGGGAGGTGTTGATCATATGTTCAATAATGGCACTTTTGATTAAACTGGTGCCTTCTCTTTGCAGCCACGCTGGGTAATGTTCTCTAACACGTTTTGAAAGGGCGCGCATACAACGACCTATGTAACTAGCTCCGCAACAGCAGGTGAACTGGTATATGCACATTGAATTGGTTATATGCCAGAGTTTGTCCTTCGCGTTGTTTCGAAGTACTGGACAGCTAGAGAATGTCACTCTTAGTGTTGCTGCAGGGAAGGAAGGTCTTCTTTAAAGACCTGGATATTCTCCTCTTCAGGATGTCGGCTGCCAAATCTCCCCCTGAAATTCAGATTCAGATACAGCGTTTTCTTCGGCGCTGAATCGCATTCTTCTCTCTTTGGTTTGGGTTTCATGTCAGGTGGCCACTTTGAGCCAGGATGTTTTTGAGGAATAGGAGCTCCTCTTCCATGCAATAGCTGCTGCAGATTTTTCTAATGCGATGAGTTAGTGCGATGATGACAGCTCGTTTTCGGCTCAAAGGTATCCAACTACAGAAATGCGTTAGTTGGTCGTTCCATATCGGTTTTCTGTGGATGGACCTCTTCAGAGCTCCATCATCTCTTCTTGTTGGTTTTCTAATTCCATTGTGAATTTAATCGAAGGATGGGAATTATTAAATTCTTGTAAGATGCAGTCGTGGTCCAAGTTATCGTAGCAGACTATAAACGTATCGTCAACGTACCTTTTGTACAGTAGTAATTCGTTTATTGTTAATTTTAAAACTTCACTCTCCAAACTGGCCATAAAACAATCTTCTGAAAGTGGGCAAAGAGGAGATCCCATTGCATTTCCGTCTTTCTGTCTGTAGATGTCGCTGTTGTAGGTGAATTGTAAATTCAGCGTGCATCTCAGCAGCAGTTCCTTCAGCTATGATATTGATACTCCTACGCTTATATTGGATTTCTCCATATAACTTCACAGAAAGAAAATCGTTTCTGTTAGTGGCACGTTGGTAAAGACAGATTTGACATCTACTGATAACATTCGTTTATCATTTACATTCAAATCTTTTATGCATTCAGTGATCTCAAAAGTATCGCGAAGAGAGTATTTGCATAGGTATTGTCTTACCGGCTCCAAAATTTTGGATAACCATCTGGCGATTGAATGGTTTGGTGACCCTGACATGTCTAGAATCGGTCGAAGCGGCAGGCCAGGTTTGGGCACCTTTGGTAAACCGTAGAGTCGGGGAATGGTTGATTCTGTCGGTTTGAGGCAATCGAACAGGTCCTCAACTATCAGGCGGTCGTTGTTCATTCTTCTGAGAACATCTGTTAGTTGTCTTTCAGTTAGTTCTGTCTTGTTTTTCTCATTGTTGGGCTTGGTAAATTGCTTGTCATCTGATATGTGTTGTCAATTTGTTAATATATACATCTCTGTCCATTTGGACCACTCCTGATCCTTTGTTAGGACGTGTTATTATTAAATCTTTATTGTCTCTTAGTTCTTTGAGTTGTTGTCTATGTTCTTTTGTCAGTAGACGTCGGGCTTGAGTTCTTAAGCTGAGATATTGATTACAGCAATCGAAGATTGTTGACTTAAATTGTAGGAAATCTGCGTCGGAAACTGGAGTAATATCATGAGTTTGGCTTATTAGGTTTTCGAATTGAATATACTTATGAAGTCCGTTGCTGTTA